CCTCTCTCCATCACGGGTTTATCATCAGCAAGATCATCAGCTTCACTTTCCAACCACCTTTCTTCTTCTCATCAAACATCAATAGAGTTGATTAAAACAAATCAGAGCCGGGCTCCATTTCACTGCTTCATTTCTCCCAAGCAACAGAAACATCAAGCCTCATCCGCTTCTTCAAACCTTTCTCCCCTTTCCACCACACAAAATTCAAAATGGTTCCTCCTCGCTCTGGATCTGCTATGGGCATGCGCAGCCGCGGCCCCGTAGAGCTCAACGTCAACCTCGCCAAATCATATGAGATCCGCGGCCCCAAGTCACCCATGCCCAGATCTCCTCTCCGCGACGTCACCCACGAGGACCGCAGGGCCTCATCATCATATGAAGACAGACTCGACGGCGCCATCCACGTCCTTCGCACAGAGGCAAACGCCCTCATGGCGCTTACCCAGCTGTACTCTTCCGAGCGCGTCTGCCGCGACGGCTTTTACCGCTCCGTTGATGCTCTCGTCCGTCACCGTGATCACCGCGGCAAGGTCGTCTTCATCGGTGTCGGCAAGTCTGGCTGGATCGCGAAGAAGCTCACTGCCACCTTCAGCAGCTTGGGTCTCCCCGCTGTCTTCCTTCACCCTACCGAGGCCCTTCACGGTGACCTCGGTGTGGTGGGCGAGTACGACACCCTCATCATGATCACCTTCTCCGGCAAGACCCCCGAGCTCATGCTCCTCCTGCCTCACCTCAACAAGAAGTGCCCTCTCATCCTCCTCACTTCGCCCACCAGCATGGAGACATGCGAGATCGCAAAGGCCCGCCCGGATCTCATCCTCCTCCCTGCTCCTATCCCCGAGTCTGAGAAGGAGACCTTTGGCGTCTCTGCCCCTACTACTTCTACGACCATGGCCATTGCCATGGGCGATGCCTTGGCGTACGTTGCTTCAAAGGAGATGTACTCTTCAGTATCATCAGTCTTTGCAAAGAACCACCCCGGTGGCGCCATTGGCCAGGCTTTCAAGACAAAATAGACATCCACTTGGTTGTTGGTTTTTGTATTGAGAAATGCTTTTTAGTGTTTTGAGGCAGGGCGTTGTCGGGTATTAGGAAGGGCTTTACAGATATTAACGGACAGAGTTCAAATTGCTCACAGGGCGTCCAATCTTCATTGTACATATCTTGTTCGGATTAGGGATTATTAGGCGAAACTAGCGGTTTTCTGGGACTCCATAGACTTCATTTCTTATGTTCGATACCACAATTCGATGATCATATCTCGTATTATCTTCAAGTTTAAACAGATACCTCTTGCCAAAGTGATGTGCCATACTCTAAACCAGAATTATAGACTGCAGTTATTTCATTTCGCCATCTCATTTCGATTCGAAGCTTATGATAGAACTAAGTCCACTCAAGATGACTCCATTTAATGTCAATCTGTTTCTTAGAAATTATTGAAGCTTGGCATAAACATCGAATCCAGTTTATTGTATCTCTCGGTGTTGCTACGTTGGGTATGTTACATTTGTCGCCACACTAATGCAGGGTGATGGCAAGATCATCGATTCTCCCTGAGGAGGTGAAGATCGATTGATCGATGTTTGAAGAGTCTCGACTTTGGGCCTCCTTGTTTGAAAACACATCACTTCAACGTACGAAGGTGTTGTTGCACATATCCTGATGATTCATCCACCGGCCTAGTGCTACCTCGCAAGGCATTCTTTTGCCGTGCCGCGATGCCGACATAAGGCTGGGTAGTACATATTCCATGATCCCCTCAAGTCTCAGCAAAGAAAAATCCCAAACCCAGAGTTTCTTCTGCGGAGCATATGTGCCCCACAAGGTGAGCGGGTGGATGGATGAGTGCCGTGCTTGGTTTTCTTGCCAGAGATCTGGGACTGACACAAACCACACCCACTGTCACAAGTCAAATCTCCATGAGTTTGTTTTGGCTTTGCTGCCCAGAACCCAGGACAGCAAGTGAGTGAGAGAGAGAAGCAGAACCCCGCTTGTCCGCCTCGACTGGAGCTGGTACCTGCAATCTCTTTCACACAGCAAGTTCTATGGCAGACGACAGACGTCAACCCTGTCGTCTCTACTTGACCCCCTGCAGGATGATCGCCCGTGCATAGCCAGGGAATATTCCTTGGGTACGGACCAATCGACCGACAGGGGCTTCCTAGCATCATCCCACTAGGAACCTCACCAGCGTCGCATTGACTCGATCCAACGGAGGGTACGTTCTCCACCCTCGCACATTCGGGTGCAAAGTCCTTAAAACAGTTTGATATAACGCCAGCCCGTAACGGCACGTGGGGTTTGACTCGTAGTTGCCGGGATAGGGGCCTTGGGCCACCCGAATGTCTTTCCTTTTGGCACATCATCTTTGCGGCTTGCCTGCTGCGGTCGTCCGTTGTAGGCACCATCCCCCCGTTGATTCAGGAGTCCTCAGAGAAATTAATAATTCCTGGGTTATCGCTGCGGTGCCGCCGATCCGCGCCCAAGGAGATCCCAGTCGATCACCAGTCTTGGGGTCCCCAAGCAGGATGATGAGCTGTGTTCATCATGAGCCACCCCGAGCTGGCGGCTACAACGACGTATGCCAGGTGGGGAGGGGGGGGGGGGGGGGGGCGTGGGATGTAAGCCTGCGTTGCTTCTTAGACGCTGCCCGTCAATTATCCAAGACATGCGTTGCACAGCAAGCGAGAATGATGTGTTTCTCGCCCCTTGGACTTCATGGTCCTGATAGGGTCGGTCCCCGTCCTCGGCGGGCCACTCTCCCTGCCTCTTGCAGTTATCACTCAATGAGGCCCATCGTTGACAGGAAAACCTCCATTCCCTCTCCTTCACTCACCGCTACCAGTCTGGAAGCTAGCAGTAATGATCCATCACCATGTCGGACTCTCTGCAAGTGCCTGACCCCGCCAGGCTACAGTTCTACCCTCCAGGTGGACAGAAGCAGACCAGATTCGCTCCTCTCCCACCAAGACCACCGCCGCCTCCTGGTCGGCACTCCTTCATCAATCCCAGGAGCTCATGGATGCGAAGAAGCCAAAGCTTCCAGCCTCTTGGACTTGAACCACCACCATCAGAACGTTTCTCCCGCCTACCGCGGCTAAGCAGGTTATCATACTACCCCGTCGCCAACGAGTACATCGAGGGTGTCTTCAACGAAAAGACAGCCCTGCCCCCACGATGGTCCTTTTACGTACCAGACTTTGACTTTGATGTCGAGGACTTTAAGAAGTATGATGAGAAGCCTGAGAATGAGGAGGATGAGGGCCCGCCAACAGCCCTCAAGGCCTTCCGTGTCGACTTTTGGGATGGAGACCCGGACGACCCAAAGAACTGGTCGACGGCCTACCGTGTGCTCGTCGTCGCCATGTTTGCCCTGACGACACTAGCTACCGGTATCTACTCGACCGCCTACTCTAGTGGTATCACCCAGATGAGCCAAGAGCTCAACGTCACCAACCCTTCACTACCTCTCCTCGGTATCTCTCTTTACCTCGTCGGTCTCGCCCTCGGCGCCCTCATCATGGCACCTTTGAGTGAGACGTTTGGCCGAAGACCAATGTACATTGGTGGCCTAACAGTATTCTTGGGACTGATCCCCCTCGCGGCACTGGCGACCAACTTCACCATGGTCATCGTGGCACGTTTCCTAGGGTATGTCACCTTCGTGTTGTTCCTTCACTTATAGGATCAGTTGCTCACATGGACTCTAGTGCTGTCGCCGGAAGTGTCATGCTTTCCAATGTTGGTGGCTCGATCATGGACATCACCAACCCCAAATACTTGCCGCTGGCGATGTCAGTGTACTCATTTGGACCTCTCAATGGTCCCGTTCTCGGGCCTCTCATGGTAAGCTTCATTCATCCGCAACCCTCGGACCAAGTCACTAACAACTATGACAGGGTGGATTTCTCGTGGAAGCCTTTGGCTGGAGATCACTCAACTGGATGTCATTGATCTCAACAGCTGTCGGAGCTCTGTTCATCATGACCGTCCCAGAAACTTACCGGCCCACGCTTCTCAGAAAGAAAGCTGCTGCAAAGCGACAAGAAGAGGAAGACCACAGATACTGGTCCGACTTTGACGACACCGTTCCCATCTTCCGCAGAATCAGGACGGCCGTGTCCCGTCCCTTCATCCTATCGTTCACTGAGCCTGTCCTCATGTTCTGGAACATCTACATCTCTGTCATTTACGCCATCGTCCAGTTGGCCTACGTCGCATTCCCTATTGTCTACACCACCGAGCGCGGCTGGAGCGTCGCCATTTCTGGTCTCGCTTTCCTCGGCGTCTTTGTCGGCATCGCGCTCGTCTTGGCCACGGAGCCGCTTCTCAGGAAGCTGGTTAACCGCCAGCCCAAGAACCCGGAAACTGGCCAGCAGGAACCAGAGGCAGTCGTCCTCCTCATCTGCATTGGCGCAGTTCTCGAGCCCGTCGGCCAGCTCTCATTCGCACTCACTTCCCTACCCATCGAAATTCCCTTCTACTGGAGTGTCCTGTCCGGCGTCCCCTTTGGCTACGGCTTCGGTCTCGTCTTCATTTACGGCACTAGTTACATTTCAAAGGTGTTCGGCATGTACGCAACCTCCGCGTCGGCCGGCAACCTCGTCTTCAGATCCATCTTGGGCGCTGTCTTGGTGCTCGTCGGCAAGAGCATGTATGCCGCTCTGACACCGCGCATTGCGGGCATTACGGTCGGTGTCGCCGAAGTTGTGCTCATGCCCGTCCCCTTTATCTTTTACAAATGGGGCAAAAAGATTCGGCAGAGAAGCAAACTTATTCAAACTTTGGAGGAGCAAGCGAAGAAGATGTCTTAATTTTTTTATCCCCTCTGTACTACGGAAACCGGAAAGATACCCCCCTTTTCCTATGTCGAAAACTGTACTGTGAACCAGTCACCAGTCACATTCTTGTCAAATAGCCTTTTTTTTTTATACCAAATATCTGTACTTAGAACCTCGAGCGATCAAAATGTGTAGAACATAGATAGAATCATTATCATCATTAACCAAATGTCCATCATCGCCTGCTGTCTTCTAGCTCATATCTCGTACGAGTACATGTAGGTATTGATCCTTCGAACGCAGTCGTGAGATCTGCGGTCATTGCAAACTTGTAACGTACATGTAGGTTTCCTATGCCGAACAAAGCTGCAGCCGCTCTTTCCAACACATCTTCACCCACTGATTTTGCGTATATCGACATGGCTCTTCTGCAGGAGACAAACTCCTCGCAGGGCTCACAATGTATGCCACACCGCCCGTCCAAACATTTTCCCGCAGCATCTTGAGCGCCACCGAGATGTTGAGAAGTTTCTGCTTGTCGACGATCTTCTCAAACAGAGCTTCTACCTCATATCGCCGTGCGCTCACCGCCATGCTCTCGCAGCCGAGGACAAACGCGGGCCAAACCATCATGGTCGCCGCATGCGTGTCGAGCGGGACAGCGGCAACGGCTTCGGATAGCTGCTCGACCAACGCCAAGGGATGTTTTGTCGGACGCTCGGCTCTGACGGTACTAGAGTCACCCTCGTCTGCGCGAAGCAGGAAGATTTGCGTTGCTAGGCTGTGGGCCAGGGCTGCAGCAATGCAGGCATTAGCATCTCGGATTTTGAGACTTGTTGATGGGGCCGATGGATCAGTTTCTGGATCTGGTTGTTGCTGGGGAGGCGGAAGATCTCGGCAGGCTGATTCAAGTTTCTCTAGTACATAACATCGAGACGAGACAAAGTGCTCCGGCGTGATTGCTGTTTGGAAGAAGTCGTCAACGAGAGAGGCTGCTGCTCCGATCATCGGCAAGATGTGCATCGAGTACCCGAATACGACGTCTGGACCACTATCAAGAGAGTAGCCTTGTATCACAAAGCGAGGTAGCAAGTGGAAGACATGTATAGTAGAAAGTGGCTTGATTCCTCTTAAGTGGAAGATCCGTATGAGGGTCATATCTATATACCGTACAAGACGGGTAATCGGCTTGTGGAAAGCGGTATCGTACGGCAGTAACCGGCAGCGCCACGTGTGGCGCTGCGACACCTTGATACTTTGGCATGACAAAATCTCGCCAGGCCTGTTGGTCAAAGACTGGGTGTGTCGCGCAGGGCACGCAGCAAAAGGTGTCAATGTAAGCCATCATCTTGACGTTCACTGCCATCATCGGTGTGTCTCTTTCGATTTGCCAACTTGCCTCCACCCGCTGTCGTAGTTTGTGTCTTTCTTCAATCTGCGCTTTGAGGCCTCGCAGAAGAGGGATGATTGATGGTGTGTGCGATCCTTGCATGATCTCCATGCCAATAAGTGCTGCTGATGCTGCAATTGCCTCTTCACTTAGATATACTGGAAATGATGTCTGAACCTGGCCGTATGAGATAGCCCTGGGCTGTTTTACGCATGCCACCATAGTGGTGAGTGCTCTTTGTTTTCTCTCAAGAGTTTCTGCGTGTTTGAGCTTCCCAAGAGCGTAACGGTGAGCTGATCCAGCTGCCAAAATCGCTGGCAAGAGGATAGAATTCTCCCTCCAAACGAAGGCAAGATATGGTTGTCGTATGCTGGCGTATTCTTCAGGGTTGGGATATACAAGGTCTGGCAAAGAGTCGGCCCAGTGTCTGAATATGAAGGCATCTGATGAGGAGTGAAGCTTCGGGCCCACTGACAGACTGCGTGCTACGGATGTCGGGGGGATAGCTTTTTTCCTACACGCGGCCGACTTCCTTGATGAACAAATCGTCAAAGAACTTCGCGGCTTGATGACGCTCTTGCTTGCAGATTGGCTATCCGGGCTGATACTGCTGATCTCAACCCATTTCAGATGTATCGGGTATCCGACACACTCAACACCACGACGCTCGCACTGCTTGCAAAATGGGCGCGCCTCGTCGCACTTGATACGGGCTGTTCGGCATGTCCCGCATCCTGTGTCAATAGCAGAGAAAAGTTAGATCCTACGCCAAGAGACGGTAGAAGAGCCAAGCGCGATGAGACTCGACGCGATTGTCGGCCCCGTCGATGGTGGGTTGACGAACCGTTGCGAGAGCGTCTGTGAGCTTGAGCAGCCATTGAGATCCGCCCGGCATTGGCCGAGTTGTGAGAGTTGAGGTTTTGTGCTACGTGTGATGTTGATAGAAACTTCCCCCCCAGACAAAGCTGATCTCAGTACGTGATGCCGGTGGGATGAGATGATACAGGTCGTTGAACTCAATCTGAGTGGTTTGTGCTGATGCAGATGAGAGGAGAAACGCGACTGGGCATGGCCAGATTAGGAAAAAAACGACTCCTTACTCGCGACGGGAAGATGGCAGCGTGAGTGTCTTGGTTTTATGTGCTCCGCTTTCATCCGGTTCCGACGACAAAGCGGCAAGTGGAGCCCGCCACGAGGCATTATAACCAATAGCAACGGCGTAGACGAGTCAGCCAAGTTGACGAAGTTGTCACTAAAACATGACCATGACCTTGAAGAGTTGGTGACATCTTGGCTTGTGCTCAGTTGGCTTTTCTGTATTTTTGGTTACATTCCATGGCTTCGGTCTCAGTTTGTTCCGAGTTCTTGGGTTACGATACAGTCTAGACCTTGCCAAGCTTCTAATCCACTGCGGCACATTTTTCTACGGGTACCCCAGAGTTCTAGACTTCCTGATACAGCATAGGCAAGTCGAACCTGGCTAGGGTGGGGGTTTGCCGACTACGGGGTGGATTCGAGGGACCGCTGGGTTCATGAGAACTTCAAGCGGGATCCAGAGGTAGTTAACAAGACGTTGCTTTATGGCACGCCTAGATCTTGATGATGTATGTTGCCTCGTGGAATCATGGAGGAATATGGTGGCGTTTACATTTTAAACTAAGGTGAACTACCGAAACCTGCTAGAGCGCCATGCTCGCCCCACAAATGATGGCTGGAACGAGCTTCCATCAAATAATTAAATTCAATGATGGATGATGAGATGTTATTGACGGCCAACATACCTATCCGATCAATTATAAAGGCGACCTTAGAAAAAAGGCCCATGTATCTTCCTCGAGATAAGTCTGTCGCTGCCAATGTCTGCTGCGAGTACTTAAGCGTCATTCGTAAACTGCCACCGCTAAGAGTGATTCCTGACTCCTGGGCGTACGCAAATTTTTGATATCTCTGAGGTTGTCGATGTTACCTGCCAATCAGAAGCATCGCATTTAACAGCAGCAACTCATAGATGAATCCTTCAGAGAGACTGTATTTGGACATGAATCCCATGAGAGCGCTGACATGACAGACTAAAATCTGATCGGCTGATTCTAGAGATAGACATTGATTGGATTCACAAAGTCCCTTGTAAGTTTCTGGACTTGGATCACCTTGGGCTACGGCATACCAAGGAAGATCATTATCACCAAAGTACTTATGGTCATCCCTCCTCCCCCCCCGGGGCAATGAAGGCAATGTCTTCCATCACGTACGGTGCACCTACAACTCTCCCTCCATCGCCGTTTCATAACCTCCATCATGGACCGCGCAAGTCTCATCGCCACACTCGCCTCGGCAAAACAAAACTTGAAACGACCGATCATAACCCTCGCAAACTGCGACAACGCATGGCTCATCTCCATTCCCAAACCTGCTGGGGCGGCCGGTAAAAGGTCTTTTACCACATCCTACAAGACCCTTGGCTCTTTGGCGTCAACGATGTCCTCATCAGCTACTTCCTGCGACTATCACTCAAGGAAAAGTCGGCACTAGAAACCATTGAATCCTGCGAAGATCTGGTCCGTGAGATTGATGAGGCGGTCGGGGGCTCCAAGGAGGACGACTCTCGATGCGGTGACCGTCACCCATACCAATCCGGATCACCTGCATCAACCGACCCTGCGAACCTTCGATCAATCACTGAAAGTCTTTGCCGTACAGGACGCCGCAGCCACCATCTCTGCAATGAAGCATTTCGATAATGTCCATGTCCTCCCGGACTTTGTACGCGATCAGGCGTGGCCGGCTACGCCCGAGATGCCCGACTGGTTGTCCATCTTCCGGCTCGAAGACGAGACCAAGAAGTACCCGAACTTGTATCACGCAATCGTTATCAAGATTGCAGCTGCGGGTGGAAAAGACGAAGTCTTCCTGTACTGCCCGCACGGGGTAGACCCCAGCATCGTAGAAGCCGCCATGGAGATGAACCCCGACGCAAGTGTCCTTGCAATGACGCACCCAATCAACGAGGCTGTGTGGGACTGTGGATACCTGAGGCAGTGGCTGGTGCCTAGGGCACCAGCTGCCTGATCCACCTCCTGGTTGATCCAGCCCACCGCAGCCACCTTCACCACAACATCACCAACCAACCGTCAATACCAGTCGTATTGCCTCATTGCTTGCCTCGTTGGTCCAGATGAGCAGTGTGTACTGCCCACAGGCTGGCGTTGGAATGAAGTCCAAGGGGGTAGCCAATGCTCTGAAGATTGAGCGCAAGCATTCACCAAAAGTACTGGATTCATTGCCAAGAAAAAATCCAATACACAGGATTCTTGACTTGGTTCTTCGACTATGGAGACAAGACGTTGGAAATAGGCTTAGAGGAAGAAGCCAAGGAAACCGAAGAGGAGCTACCTAGGCCCAACTATGTGACGATTTTGAACGGCGCAGGATTTGTTTTGGCATGATAGGGTTGCGTGAATGAGATGAGGTCGGAGGTTGGCAGGTCGTCTTTGCGAAAAGTCTCTAGTGTTTGAAGCTTCATCCCGCAAGCAACCACTTCGTATCGGACTTTCCAAACACGCCAAACGAAGCACAAATGATTAGAAAGTAGATACAAAAGAAAAAAAGAGAAAAATTGGCTTCAACACGAGGCAGGAAAGCAAAAAGAACTCCTCGACGGGGAATTGAACCCCGGTCCCCTGCGAATCGTTGAATTTCCAATGACAAGCAGATATCCTCACCACTAGACTATCGGGGATTGGTGGATGTTGACATCCAGTGATAGTTGGTTGAGCGGGAAGCCCCCTAGCTGCCCTATATTCCTTTAGCTGAGCTGAGTGGGGCGGACGTTTCAGTGGTGCTCAGCCAACACCCATTGAGAGCCCGAAATTCCCGTCAATAGAGGCAGAAATGCAGTATAATCAACAGGCTATCTAGCCGTCTTCGACAATCTTTGAGAAGAACAACGCAACCTGGAGCAGCAGTCATGGCGACTGGTGAGCTTGAGAGGCGACGATCCACACACCTGGGCAGGCACGCAGGGCACGCCACTTTGCTGCCCCTAGGAACAGTCGGCAGTATCCAACCGCAGCTCACACTCAAGGGACATCATTGAAAACAGGTCAAGACCGACAGACGAGATGTCACGACACAAAAGCATCAGCAGGATCAGGATTGCATGAGTGCGACAGCGGGAGAGACGCAGCAGTCCTATGTGGCACAGTTAGTGGCCTTTGGTTCTTATTGGAGAAGTGTTGGCTCTGGTACTGAGACCACGACAGTGGCGCAAGCTCACTAACAAGTCATCTCAGCGAAAAGCACTAAACCAAAGAGAAGCCCAAGTGCTGACTGTGTCGTGACAGATCTGCACTCAAGTTCCCCTGACAATCATTTGGCATTCTCAGCCTTAAGCATAGCCGCTTCGGAACCTGGCTGCCTGATGGGGGGCTTGTTAAGCCTTTTGCTAATTCATAAGCGCGACAACTGTCGACGCGGAGTGAGCCTCAACGCCATGGTCTTTCAGGACAATTGATCAAGCCACACAACTAGCACTCCATCATGAGCACATCAAACGCCAACAGCGTCGATGCGGAATGTCAACAGTTGCAGTCCGCCTTGTCACCGGCCGGTGCAGCTGTGCGTGACTTCATCGCAGCCCACCCTGAGGCCGAGGCACAACTCTCGCCCGTGCTGGAACAAGTCCTTATGCTATCCGAAACCATCATCGCGCTTCTACGGAATGGGGCACGTTGCGAAGGAGAGGACCAGCTCTTGAGAGAAACCCGGCAGGTCCCAGTATTCTGCAATGAGGTCGTCGGCCAAATCATAGAAGCTGTCTCTGACACTGGACCTGAAAAGTCGCGATGGTCGCTCTCTCGGCGTGGTGACGATGCGTGAAGGAATGCAGCCAGTCGCGCCACAGCCCTGGGCTCACATCTGACCACGGGGAGGAGGACGATGACTCTAGCTATAGATGCATTAGACTTGTAAGCCTGCTTACTCGAACGTCTTTGAGGCAGCAGTTGAGATACTAACACACGACAGGGCCCAACATCTTCGAAGAGCAGAGGAAGCCGGCGAGTCCCCTCCATATGCTACCAGCGCAATCCTGCAGGAGATCAACTCCATCAAAGAGATTCTCAACCGTCAACCCGCCTCAGACCAGAGCCTATCACTTCACAAGCTCGCCGGGTTCCTCAGCTTTCTTCGGACCTTCATCGACAACCAGTCCACCACGGTCCCGGCATCAGACATGGCGAGACTAACCGTAACCGCCGACCACGCCGGCTCTTCAACCTACTCCATGTCCGCACCAAGCGTAGACGGAGACCCAAATCCATACTCGGCCCTCCTCGCGCCCGCGCCCGCCCCCGCCCACGTCATATTCCGCCACGTCGGCAAGATCACAATGAACATGGAAAAAGAACCCGTCGACATCCGCTTCACCTCCGCGTTAGACCCGACCTCCTTCGCCGTCTCAAACTTCTTCAAAGACATCAGCCTCTTCGACGCCGCCTCCGGACAACGCAGACGCACCATCAAAGTCAAGGGCGCGCACATGGTCTTCTCACCGCTGATGGATCTAGTCGCTGTGACGACGGAACATCACGATGAATACGTTAACCGTTTCCCCAAGACGATCCTGACGTCGCATGACATGTTCCATTTCGAGAGGCCGGCCCTGTACGTCGTCGAATGGGTCAACGACAACAGCCCCAACGCGCGCAAGTTCATCCTGCAGTGGCACGGCATCCGCGCCTTTTCCTTCAGCCCCGACGGTCAGCTTCTAGCAATCAAGGGAGTGCGCAACCGCGTTGAGATCATCACAGCCGCCAAGGGGCAGGGGTACAGCGTTATCCGCAGCCACACAGATGAGGTCACGCAAGCGGAGTGGACGGCGGACTGCACCAGGCTCGTCACCGCGTCCAAGGACGGGACGCTGAGGATCACGAATGTCGAGACTGGCCGCAATATTGCCAAGATTGAGATGGAGGACTGGAGGAATCCGCTCCGGCTCGCAGTGAGCGCGACGGGGGTAATTGCATCGATTTGGGGCAGGACGGTGACGATATGGGACTACGGGAGCGGCGCGATGAACAGTTACAACCTCGAGACCGCCAAGGGAAGCGAGGGCACCCCGTTAGCGATTTCACCTGACCTGCGATGGGTTGCGTACCGGTCAGATGATGGCGCTGATGTTACTGACCTGGCGACTGGAAGGGTGGTCTACTCGGCCAGGTTGGAGTCGGGGTTCGCGGTGTCGGCTGCTTTCTTTGGGAACGGGCAGTACATGGTCGTTGGGCGGTGTTTGCATGGACATCATGCCAGGAACGATTCCGGCATCCTCAATGTATGGGAGATTCAGACTTGACGTGATTTTATGAGCAACAGAAATACCATTAGTTCTGATAAGTCGATGTCATTTGCGTGACTAGAATCTGTGAGGTAACAGAACTAAGCTTGTATTCTATGCACAGCTTTGTGAAGACCGCGTTCATCTCCAATGTATAGACCCGTTCTCTCTGAGCATTAGAGGCTGAGCAAGGGCACCAGTCTCACAGTAAGCTGCCCAAGACTCATACCCAGGTCTGATAGGATTGACAGAATGCACCGATAGCTGTGTTATTGTACTACCAATCGCGACCGGGCAAAGTATCGGTGCCAGCCTCACCACGCTTCCAGGGCTTCCCGCCTGGGAAGGTGTCGGTGACAGCGTCGTCAGGTACCTATTTTTTTTGGATACATGTTAGACTGAGGCACTACGAAGTCAAATAACAACCAGTTGGGAGACGGACCGGCGCGGCCATGGCCAGTGATACAATGGCAGCAAGAGCGAGCAAGTTGAACTTCATCTTGTCGGCTTCGATGTAGTGAAGATGGCGATAGATTGGGGTGGGCAGGTAAATTCTAGTTGCTTGGATGGTTGTGGGAGAGAAAGAAAGTAATGGTCTGGGATCTGGTGACAAAGTAGGGCGATTATGAGACTTTCCCTTTATAACCTTCCATGATACACATTCTGGCGACGATTCTTGTCAGGTGATGCTGAGACCCTGGGTCCCTCGAAGCCATTGTCAACTGCCTGGGCAATGTCGACACCGGCGGAGTTCCACCACGTCGCCCAAATAGCTCACTCAGCGCCATGCATCCTCTGCTATACAAGAAAGTCACCTTCCAGATGCAGATGCTCTTGACTTACTGAGCATATGATAAGCCTTTCAAGTCGTTTCGGCCCGACGCTCCTGCGGGTCATGTCCAGCTTATTTGGACAAGCCTTGACTGCCATGCTCCCTTTCACAATGAGACGAGAACACACGAATGCGGCAGAAAGGTATCCGATTCGATGAGATATGCTGCATATGCTTATCCAGGCTCGCTAGCTTCGAGTAAATCAACAGTAATCAAGGTAGTAGTGAATACTGCAACTATGCCTCCGTCTTCAGGAGCTTCTGTCCCCAAACTGCTCTTTGGCGGTAGTACCCATGAAGCTTGCCTAACCGAATCTCGCGACGCAGCTGCGCCGCATAGATGTGGATTTCCTCACGAGACCAAGTCGACATGACGTTGGCCATGAAAAGGACGTAGCCCTCAATGTCCGAGAGGAGCGTCAGCTCAGCCCACTCGCCGACTTCCTTCTTCACCTCATCCTTTGGCCAGTTACCGATGGGGCCTGTTATTTCAAGTTAGTCTTCTTTTCTCGTGCCTCATACTTCCAACTCGTCTGTCGGAACTCTGATATACCTTGTTGTTCCACTCTGTGATGCTCTCAAAGCCGGCGTCCTCCATCGACGTCCTTTGCAAGTTCTCGTCGAGGACCCGGAACGTCCGGCCCATCTTCCGGCCGCCCTCCTCGAAGAACTTGCCCCACTGACCCAATGCGCTAGTCTCCGGGACGGTCCCGTCGTCGCTCATGATGGCCGGCGAGACTTCGAAACTCTCGAAGTAACCGCCCGGCTTCAGGGCCCTGTAGGCCTGCTTGAATAGCGCGGGCCAGTCCGCGATGCTGCCGACTAGGAAGCGGATGTGAACGTAGTCAAAGGACTCGGGTTCGAATGTCCATTCGCGTCTACAGTCATCGATCTCGCTGTGTGGAGTCAGTCACGGCATTGGCCGTTGGATCATCACTGTGTGATATCGGAGTACTCACAATTTCAAGTTAGGAGGAACCCAGCTAGGTTGGATGGGGGAGATGTCCGTCCCGATGACTTCACATTCGGGATTCTCATCGGCAAAGTCACTATACAGAGTTCAGCCTCTTGCATCACGTACTTTTGACGTACCTAGTTGCGAGACTTACATGGCCCAGATACCTACGTTGGAGTTAGCCTGACTTTATGAGCCGAGAATGACATAAGCGCCGCTCACCTGTTTCTGTTCCAATATCCAGCGCTTTGTTTAGCTATTTAGGGTTTCGTTAGTTCAGGCCGATGAGCAAGCCACCGCCGAGGTGCTCGTCACCTACCTTGCTTTTGTCTAGCGGTGCCAAGTGAAGCTTGTCACCCATGGACAAGGTGAGTAAGTGATGGCTACTGAGCGTCAGCTTCGAGCTCTCATTTCCTTCCTCTTGTGGAGGTCCATCTCACTTGATGTCCCAAACCTCATTCTGCTGTTCATCGTTGCTCCCCCTTTCATGACCAGTTAGCGAGACCGCTAGAAATCCTCAAGTCTCTCAAACCCCGGAGTCATTACCAATACTGTGCGTCGCCAACCTCGCCGTGGAACGTCCTCCCATGAATCTTTCGGTACTGCAGAAATCGTAGAGGTGATTGACGCCGTTGAACTGGCGTTGTCGTCGCCTAGCGCAGAGTCGGCATCGTCTTCATTAGCAGCGTCCTAGCGGCCTGTCAATCATCACAATCCCGCGCGGCCGCCGTTGAAGGGGCGTATGTAGACAACTACGCCCCCACGGTGGGAATGGCGTCGAAACTGACTCGTGCCGCTTGCACCCAGTGCTCAGCCGGTAAGATTCCAGCCGCTGCGTTCGCCGCCGTCTCCTGCTGCGCGGCGGCCGCGGCGGCCGTCTGGTCCTCGTCTCCCTCGGGACACATTTGATGGATGATATCGGAGGCTCGGTCGCGATGTGAAGCCGTACACTACTCGTGTCGTCGCAGGGTTTCACCCGTTGCTGTTCCCAGATTCCGGGTTACTGTTGCTCGAATCCTGGAAAGAAAGGGAGAAAGAGAGTCTGAGAGATCAAATTGCTTGGACGGCAGCGGGAAAGGGTGGAAACGTGCTGCCACGAGTCACGACAAAATCCCCGGTCCCTGTTCCCCTTCTTTAAGAGCTTGGAAACCCCACAGTGGGCGGGCAATGCGCGTGGTCGTGGACGTGCGCACGCCTTGTCGCCTCCAATTCTTCAGTTGATCAGTCAAGTTTCCCTTCAACACATCCCCGGACGAGGAGGGGGGCGGGCAGGTCGTGGCCCTCCTCTCCTTCGCTTCTCCAACCCGTTGGAGTCTTGGAGAGCATCTCCTCATCTGCCGGTTGTCAGCTTCATGTCAGCTCCGCACGATTTTTGGCAGGTTTATTCTGTGCCATGGCTCATGGTAACGTGTCAAGTGTAGCGCCAAGGCCGCTGACCAAAGGTGTAGAATGCTACCATGTTCGGCCCTCATCACCAGAAACGACCGGATGAGGGGCCGGGGATCGTCAGCGGGTAGGCCAACCAGGTGAGGACTCGCGGCATTTGCCAGTGGATCTCGCATGCAAGAACCTGCAAGGAATAATACGTAATCACCAATGATCAAAGACCTGGGTCTCCGCGTGCTCACTGCTCACTGCTGCGACTTTGACAGCATGGACACGTGTTGTACGGAGTGCGCCGCTCAAAGCTAGGTACGAATGGTGGCCGACGGGCCTGGACTTCTTCAAGCAAGACAGACATGGCATTTGCTAGGCACAGATAAACACGATATCTCTTCAACCCCGGGCATCTTTCAATACGTCGCATTCAGTCGCATCTCGATGTACTCGCGACTGTTTATCGGCTCGTACTTCTTCGGCCTGCCGGGACCGAAGCACCCAGACACGCAGTCCACCGTCTTCTCCTGATCAGCGCCGATGAAGTACGGAATCGAATACCGCGCCCGGGTCACGCGGTCACCGCTCTCGTTCGTCTCCAGCGGCGGCGCTCGCACACGATGCACGGTGGACCGGAGCGTGTCGTTGCTCCACCGCTGCATGAAGTCGCCAATATTGACCACGATCGTCCCAGGGATGGACGACACGGGCAAGAACCGGCCCTCCTCGTTAGGGTCCTCCACCTCGAGGCCGCCGATCTCATCCTGGAATAGGAGCGTCATGGAGCCAAAGTCCGAATGCGCTCCCAGCCGCTCGAGCTTGCCGGCGCGCAAGAGCTTCTCCTCGACCGGCGGGTAGTGGAGGAGGCGGATCTGATTGTCCTTCATCACGTGGTAGTCCCGGAAGAAGTCCTCGTCCAGGCCCATGCCGAGAGCCATGGCGCGGAGTAGGTGGAGTTCGAGCCGGTAGCAGACCTCGTAGAAATTGTTGAAAAATGATCGAAACCCGGGGAGCGACTCCTCGGGGACCCAGATGTTGGGCAGGTGATCGTCGTCCTCGCGCCCAATCTCGTATGATTCCTTGAAGTCGGGTATTTTCCTCAGCTCGCTGATTTCTTCGGCGTCAAACACCATTTGCGACACCTTCTCCCGGCCAATGCCGGAATAGCCGCGATGCCACCATCCTTCGGGCGGGTGCGGTGCCTTATCCTTCTCGGCCTGTGGGAGGGAAAAGAACTTCTCACTCTGGGCGATGGGCGATGATCAGCAATGACAGAGAACATGAGAGAGAGATCAATCCCATAGACGAACCCACTGGAAGGCGGACTTGATAGTCTCCTCGGGGATTCCATGGTTCTTCACATAGGCAAACCCGGATAATCTGAATGCATCCACAAGACTCTTGCCGGCATTCAGTGCTGCTTCAGGGTTGGTGCCGCCTTTTAGGGCATCTAGGTCAACGAGTGGAATGCTGGAGTCCCCGCCCGCTCGAGCACTGGGGGTTTCATTGACCGACGAGGTTGACTGGGACATGTTCAGTTCAGCTCTAATGCATGGAGTGACAAAGTTTCAATTGATGGAAACGAAGATGAACGGGCTTCTTTATCATCGACGAGACTTGTTCCCCGCCTTCTGCAGGATGACGGAATGACGTGGATCGGTGCACGAGGTTATTTACATGCGAACTGAGGCACCGTGCGTGCATCCAGTCAGCAAATTAACCAGACACGACAGGTTAGTTCTCGATGTTGAGTTATGTATATCTTTCAACGTCTCCTCAATTAGTCATTTATCACAAAGCGAGGTAGCAAGTGGAAGACATGTATAGTAGAAAGTGGCTTGATTCCTCTTAAGTGGAAGATCCGTATGAGGGTCATATCTATATACCGTACAAGACGGGTAATCGGCTTGTGGAAAGCGGTATCGTACGGCAGTAACCGGCAGCGCCACGTGTGGCGCTGCGACATCATTCCAGTGACTAACGTTTTGACTTATATGCTAGAGATGAGCCCATGCTATCACGATTACCATCAGCGTCTACACGGTCCGGCATCAATTGAGCATTTGCCTACTTACTGATACCTCAAACGAGTATATTGACTTCTCTAATCTTCTCAATTTGTGCACGTAACAAAACTTCTAGCTCTATACACAAAGCAATCAGCCTATTTCATGCGTCTTATACCAAAGCCTCAGGTCGATGATGGCTAGACGCCTGGTTCATCGCCTCATCTCAGCTCGCACTTATACTCAGGGTGCTCCAAGGCCGAGCCCTGCAGTAAGGTTCAGGGAAGCATTACCAAAAACCGACGTAGCCAACCAGTTTCCGACATAGTGCTCAACCTCGAGAGGGTTCTCCCACCTCGCCCAGTGCCCACCATCGATCTCACCCCGGCTCAGGCTGTCAAAGTACGTTTCCATCCCCTCAGATAAAGCCGGGGGCAGCGTTAGGTCCTGGGTTGCAGCGATGTATAATGCAGGTTGCTTGAACTTGCCGCTGTAAGTGGTGTTGTCAGGAATAAGTACCCGCTCATCTTCCCAGTTCAGCTTGTTGTTGCGATACTCATTAAGCGTGTGATTGATTGGCTTCTTGGTGTATTCATCGACGTAGAAGTCGATCTGCGCCTTGGTGAGAAGCGGTGTGTCCGTAGTTACAAGATCAAGCAGATCAAAGTAAAATCCAATACCTGTGACGTTGCTAGGCTGTTCGCCGTTGGGGCCAATTACCCCGTAGACGTTGTTCAGGATCTGTCGAATGCGCGTGGTGTTTTGAGCATCAGCCGGCCCAACATAATCCGCAATGGCGCTTGTGCGGAATTGCTGCTGGTATTTGAATCCAGGCCATTCATAGGCGAGATCTACAAACGAGGCCGTGGGAGCTGCGAAGGGCGTGTTGAGCACGTAGAAGGCTGCAACGAGGTCTGGGTGCCAGATGGCGGTGCGATAGACCACTGCTCCACCAAAATCGTGTCCGCCGAGAATGATTCGGGAAAGGCCAAGTTGGCTTGCAAGTGTGGCGATATCGTCTGCAGCGCGCTTCCAAGTACTGCATGAGTTTGTTAGGCGCCGCGGGCTCGTGCTAAACCAGCTTACGTTTGGCTGCTTCAGGCGTGATAACTTACTAGAACTCGACGTCCTCGGGTGAATCAGTTCCTCCATACCCTATCTTGTCCAACGCGACGACGCTCAGACCCTTGGATAGGAGGAAGGGGATGTGGTTGGCCCAGCCCAGGGCCAAATCGGGCCATCCATGGATGAGGAAAACGGGACCAGCAGATTTGCCCGAATCCGGCTCTGCGTGGATATATCTGTATTGAATTCCGTTGAGATCGGTGGTCTTAAAACGGAGCCTGGGGTCGAGGGTAGCAAGGACATCCATCTTGTGAGGCTTGGTTAATTGTTGGTGAAGTTGATGGTGGTGAAGCTGGAACTGGATTTGGTGGTGGGGTTAGGATGAAATATTCTGATTCATGGAAGGGAGACCAAACTTTATAAAGCCAGTCATCCATAAAAATTATCAACGCTCTCGATGTAATGTAAGCTATTAATTGGTAGTCCACAGTGGCCTAGTCGCCGTCCCAGAGTTCGTAGAGCGAGGTCCTGCGTCTGCTTAGTGAGATACTCAAATTCGTCCGAACTCCCGAGAGCTCCTTGTGAGAATCTGTCATCCGTAGACTCCTGCAATATGGCTTGAGGACGAAGCAAATATTGAAGTCGATTATGAATGATATTGCGTGACGCAACCCCGGCGACGACAGCGAGCCCAACACCTCTAAACAAGACGATGCTCCCTGTAGTTGTTATGTCACATGATGAGAATTGTGGTTGCGATCAACTTAAGCTGATAATTCTATCCATTGACTTCCATAATCCATCTTCCATGTCTTCGTGGGTGATTTACAACAAAAAATCTTCTTCAACATATTCGATTTCTAAGGTAAGCCTGATTGGTATTAACTCGCGCCGTTCTGGATTGCCCCGACTAACCTACGGAGACTAACAAGGGTAATACTGCATATCTGCCGCTGTTAATGCCCTTCTTCAGGGTTGTGGGCACCACAGCCGTAGCTTTGTTTCCGCGTATTTGCTCTCTAAGCAAGAATCTGATTAGTATCGAATCGCCTTGTTTTATGTTACCCCGGCGGATGTACGGTAAAATTCCTGGATGGGCCGCGATTCCTCCTCCTCCTCTCTGTCTTGGGCAATCCGAGTCAGGATTGAGATCCACAATCACTCTTTGAACAGCTGGCAATTGTCCCGCAATCAATGCATGGGACTTTGATTAGTATTCATCTCCAGATGAACCAGATAAATCTTGAACTCAAGTACGTATGAAATTTTGTCCAAAATCCATAAGTTTCCTAAAAAGCGTGCATGATATCATGAGCCATCTCGCGGATGCCTTGTGGAAAAGATTTCAATTGGAAGACTTAGAGATACAGACTCGCTATTTTTGTTGTTGTTCTATTTAACGCCATGGCGGCAAGGGCGCAGCCGCCCTTGCGGCAGACCTCCCGGAGGGTATGTGGCGTGAAGGGTCGCAGGCTCTAGCTATATACTATATAGTACACGCCGTATCCTGACGTCCTCCAAATCTTGCTCGTGAGCTACTATGTGTTCTATCCATCCCTAGTTCCCACTGGTGCCCTAGTTCCGTTATAACCATCTGGTTTCTTAATAGAGGTAGTTTGTCGTTTGGAGGATAGGTTATGACCTATCTCCTAGTACCGCGGGCAGATCTTCTGGAAGAAGTCTGTCACGCAGAGGAAGGCCTGGAAGCCTTCAGAGTCAGTGATTAGCCCCTTGAAGTAGCGATCGAGGGACCCTATAGGTCCTACGGGCTCCTGGCGGCTGTAGGGGTAGAGGGTGGGCCACTGTTGCCTCCTCAGTAGGGTCTTTCGGCAGTAGACTAGATGGTCTGCCTCCTTAACCCATCCACAGGAGCAGGTGAGTAGTGCTTCTGTGTGGTTAAAGCGCTGGTGATATTGTTTAAAGTCCCCGTGGCCTAACCGTGCCGCGAGGAGGTGATGAAGGGCAGCCCTAGGGAGGCCAAGTTCAGGAGGGCAAGCAAGGGTAGCCTTGAGCCCTAGTTGGGTATAGCGGGGAGTTGCCTCTTGTTTCCACCATCGTCTATATTGGCGTCTTGGCCGCTCTTTAGCAAGCCACTTGATACCTGATAGAGTAGCTAGTTGGCCCCTAAGGACTGGTAGAGTTGTTCTCTCCTTAGCTAGGCTGTCTGCTTCTTCGTTTCCTTTAATACCTTGGTGCCCAGGAGACCAATGGGTTTGTATATCGTGTATCCTAGCTACCTCCTGGATCTCAAGGAAGGCCGCTTGTGAGGAGTCTGGGACCTTACCGCGAATCCCCTGAATAACGCTGGTATTGTCGATGCAGATGTGTATAGGCTGGCCTTGGGAGGTCTGAAGGGCCCGTCGGAGCCCAGCCCTCGCCCCCTCCGCCTCACCATCAAACACTTCTGCTAAGCCGAGACGGCCGCAGCCCTGGGCTATACGTTTATTGTTGCGGTAGATAACAAAGCCGTACCCGGTAGCTCCGTCAGGAGCTTTGGAGCCGTCTGAGTATACGACTGTATGCTGACCTGGCACAGTCTTGAGCCAGGCCTGGAAGATCCTAGCTGCTACTTCCTTCGTCTGTGTAACTATAGGGTCATAGGACCCTGGGAGGTATTGCGGCTGTAGGAGCGCTGGCCTTGGACACTTAGGTAAAAGGCCAGCTGTTCTTTGAAGCCTGGTCTGTTGCCGCCCTGACTGCAGCAGCCTTGGGACCAAGGGATGCTGTTGGTCAACCTTCTGCAGGCGTATAGCGAAGCGTAGTCGCGCTGCTTCGAGGGCTACCTCTGCTGTGGGAAAGCCAGCGTCTCGGATGAGGCTACTGGTCGGTGTGGTTCTCCAGACAGGCAGGATAGCCCTTGCTGCTGCTGTAATAACTTTGCTAAGTCTACGGGCCAGGCCCTTCTGTCCTGTACCAACTGTAGGTATCTGTAAAGCAGTGCTACTGCTAGTATTGGTGCCGCTGTTTAGGGCTGGTTTGGTTAGGCCCGCATACCAGGTCTCAACTCCATACAAGGCTGTTGGAAGGACACAGGCAATAACCGCTTGTCGTACTGCGGCTGCTGGGAGTCCCCCTTTGGTATTTGTTAGGTGCCGTAGGAACTGGGCTACCTTCTTTGCCGCTGCCACCTTAGTTTCGACATGGTGACGGAAGGTGAGTCTCTTGTCGAACCAGACTCCTAGCCATCGTACAGGCTTAGTTGAGGCCTTAATAGTTAGGCCCGTCGCCTGTATATCTGGTAGGTCTTTTGTCTGGTTATATTTCCTGCTGAAGTGGACTGCCTCGCACTTAGCTGGGTCAAAAGCAACCTTGTTATCAGTGCCCCAGTTAAGGATATGAGTGATCTTTTGGCCTAGGGCTATAGCATTTTCTTCTAGCGACGGGCTAGTAGCTACTAAGCCTATATCATCCGCATAGCCAAACCGTAGCTCTTGATCGTCGGCTAGGATATCCGCTAAACCTAGTAAAAAAAGAATAGGGGATAGTGGGGAGCCTTGTGGTAGCCCACAGGATAGAGGGAAATCCTCTGTAGTTGTATCCTCTAGCCTGACCCGGGCTGCTCGGCTACAGAGACTCGCTATAGGAGTGATGTGAAGAGGTGTTGCAAGTCAAACTCGATACTCCTGCTAGCTGTGTTGCTCATGTATTCGAAAGGCGTGAATCAGCCGCAGCCTCGAAAAGCTCATGAATTTGATATTAGTACGCCGCAGGTACTAAGGCAGTATAGTATGCCTTGCTTCGATACCTGTGCACGCGTCCTACAGCGCTTAATTGATTATCTTTCAACTTGATACGGAGTAGAGTCTATACTATGAGGACACTTGAAGTTCATGTTGTTTGCTAAAGACAAAACCCCGACAGCAGACAGCGCAGCCCTACAACCTAGTCTTACGAGGTTTTGCCCCTTGTGGTTTCCCTTGTGGCGGTATTACCTATTACGATATACTCCGGACGGTTACTGGAACGTTGTGTAAACCAGAAGCCTGCGGGCTCTGGGTCGAAGGATAGGAGATACTGGCGGAATTGCGTTCTAGGGACGACCATAGCACTGTCTCGGGCAAGCCAGCGGCACCCAGAGACAGGTTAAACACATAGTTGCCTTTGGGCACGATTTGGAGGACGAGCTGGACTGTATCTAGTGATAGCTATAGGCCTACGGCCCTCCACGCCATATACCCTTCGGGAGGTCTGCCGCAAGGGCGGCTGCGCCCTTGCCGCTACGGCGTTAAAATACAACAACAGACAAGCAGCACCAGTCTCCTATTTCCCATACGCCCGTGCCCAGTCCTGACTCTCCAAGTCATCCTTGCTCTCCTCATCAGTTGTCATCTCAAAGGTATAATGTGCGTCCTTATCGCACGTCGTAGAACTGCCTCCGAAGTCCCTCAACTTGACTGCATGTGGCTTCTGCGGAGAGTTGTCGGGCGATGACTGTGTGCTCGATTCATATGAGGCATGGGAATGGTGATACTTCCGAACCGCTGTTGTGGACTGTGCTTGCAACTTTCTTCGGTGTGTCCCGCTCTGTACGGTCGATCTGATGGTGGTGAAGAAGATTAGTAACTTCTTGAAGAGAGGTCGTAGTGCTGGGAGGCTGCCGCAGATGATCGCTAGGTTGAGCTCGACTGATGACCAGATCACGACGTCGAAATAGTCCCCTGGAGCGGCTGTCAGCATCATGGCTCCAAGGCTTTTCACAGGACCGTGGCCGGATAAACTCACAAGTAGAGTCAAATGAATTAGCGAGCGAAATTAAGTATTTCACCCGGATCATACTTGCGACACAGGCACTGTAGCCACTGGTTAGCATTTGTTTACCCGCTTGAATGGCTGACCTGTCTACCATGTGCACTTACAAGGATCCAATAGCAAACATGCAAACCAAGGCCAATCTCTTCTTCTTCCCTAGTTGAAGCTTCATGAGTTCTGGGATGGGGATGACGATCAAGATGATGTCCTCAATTATGCTACAAGCGGCGCCTGCGTAGCTGATCGCCGACATGTTAAGGCAATGACCCTGAATAGATCGGTTCCAGATCGACTGGATCGGTAGGCATTGGAACACCGTCAACAGTAAGAACATGAAGCCGTGGGAGAACAGAAAGACCATGTAGAACTTGACTGCTAGGCGGAACTTCCGGTTGGTGAATACGCGGGAGTAGAAGCAGGCGATGGAGGCTTTGGCGAAAACTCTGACTGATGGTTAGCGATGATCGTTCAATACCTTGGATCATTGTCGATGTACATACTGTATAAATACGTAGAGCATTTGCAAGACATAGAAAATCTGCGAAAGAACGTCAGTCA